TATGAATGACATTGTTGAAATTAATGTACATGTGGATCTCATCATATAACTTCATATTTGTGTATATGACTCATATTACCATCATGGAGTGTGCTGGAAAAAGTTATTCAAGTCAACATCCAGGTATGATATTCATGCTAACAAATATATAGAAACAAGCTAAAGAAGACAAAAAATCTATACTTCCATAGGAAGAACAAAATTTTTGTGACACCCCTGTTTCAAAACATAGCTGCAGTCCAAGGTGAACTCAAAGATGTTAAACCTACCATGCACCCACACTGTGTAACAATAAGTTTCACCAATCACAGTAATATCCTCTAGTGGAATCAAAAATAAAGTACATGTATATTACAGGTAAAAAGAAGATATTAAACATAATAGATATGATGTAGAAAGATAAATCTCATAAATGAACTCATGTCTCAACCAGCAAGTCTGAAATACATCTGATGACTGAAAGAAAATGTCTCATCACAAACAAAATAGAAATCGTACTAAGGCTCACAGCCTTTATAAGAAGAAAATAAACTCTAATGTCTGAATGTAAAAGTCAACACAGTGGAGTCTCACTACTAAACTGAACGATGGTGACTATGCTGGAAGACCATCAACCTGCAGCTCTCCGAAGCTGTGAACTACCTGAAAAGAAAATTAAAACAAAAAGAGCAACAACAAAAGCGTCAGAATGCTATAGCAAGATCACCTTCATCCGCTCCCAGGGGAATGGCTGCTAGATGTAGTGGAGGCTCTATCTATTAAGCATAGTCTACCTACATTATTTTCCCCATATCTAATAGAATTAATACTTAGAAATCTATGACACGAGACGTAGTACGTCGAGAGAAATAATCCAAATAAGGAAACCCTCATGTATATACCATATGTCTCAGACTGTAGATACCTAAATATCAATACCGAACTATGGAAAGAAACATCACTAGAAAATAAAACACTATACTAGACATCAACATAAAATTCTCATGTAAATCACAAGAGTAAGGTATCTCGGTCATATATATATATATATTCAGCAGAGTGACATAACTACTTTTGGCATCCACCAAAACTCAGGCTATCAAATAATAGTCTCATTTCAATTCTTTGTAAGTTTCTGATCTCATTGCATTATCATGCAACACGGACTATCCTATAGATATCCTAAATCAATGTACACGGCTTATTAGTCTCATCACAATCTCAGTGCATAACATGAGTGCAGGACTATCTACCTTATAGGTATCCTAAAACTGTGTAACAATAAGTTTCACCAATCACAGTAATATCCTCTAGTGGAATCAAAAATAAAGTACATGTATATTACAGGTAAAAAGAAGATATTAAACATAATAGATATGATGTAGAAAGATAAATCTCATAAATGAACTCATGTCTCAACCAGCAAGTCTGAAATACATCTGATGACTGAAAGAAAATGTCTCATCACAAACAAAATAGAAATCGTACTAAGGCTCACAGCCTTTATAAGAAGAAAATAAACTCTAATGTCTGAATGTAAAAGTCAACACAGTGGAGTCTCACTACTAAACTGAACGATGGTGACTATGCTGGAAGACCATCAACCTGCAGCTCTCCGAAGCTGTGAACTACCTGAAAAGAAAATTAAAACAAAAAGAGCAACAACAAAAGTATTAGAGCGCTACCGCAAGATCACCTCCATCCGCCCCCAAGGGAAGGGCTGCTAGATGTAGTGAAGGCTCTATCTATTAAGCATAGTCTACCTACATTATTTTCCCCATATCTAATAGAATTAATACTTAGAAATCTATGACACGAGACGTAGTACGTCGAGAGAAATAATCCAAATAAGGAAACCCTCATGTATATACCATATGTCTCAGACTGTAGATACCTAAATATCAATACCGAACTATGGAAAGAAACATCACTAGAAAATAAAACACTATACTAGACATCAACATAAAATTCTCATGTAAATCACAAGAGTAAGGTATCTCGGTCATATATATATATATATTCAGCAGAGTGACATAACTACTTTTGGCATCCACCAAAACTCAGGCTATCAAATAATAGTCTCATTTCAATTCTTTGTAAGTTTCTGATCTCATTGCATTATCATGCAACACGGACTATCCTATAGATATCCTAAATCAATGTACACGGCTTATTAGTCTCATCACAATCTCAGTGCATAACATGAGTGCAGGACTATCTACCTTATAGGTATCCTAAAAGACAACTCACAAGCCTAATCATACCCTCGTGCGGACGGATTGCTAGACAAAGCATCCAAACCCGACTCAATGGCCTGTACAAATGGAATATCGACGTACTAACTAAAATTGATATTGATGAAATCATATATATGCATATGAGTATGAAACAAAAATATGTTTTCTAATTATATTCAATTGTTTCATAGTAAAACTTGAAAACTATCAATCCAAAACATATATGTATATATATAACTATATATATACAAAAACCAAAACGTGTATGTGTGTATATGATTGAGCTTAAAGTACTAACACACATAATATAAATTCCTAAACTAAATTACCCAAGCAATGATCTTGATCTTCATTAAGCTTGACTTGGTATTCTCGCGGATGAAGCTTGAACTTGGATCTTGAACTTGAATTGTACGATGCTTCACTCCACAATTCCGCCAACCTCCTCTTGATATGATCGTGTAGGCTCAATCCATCCAACCTCCAACTACGTTGTTTGTCTACAAAACATAGGAATGCACAAACACTAGACAAACAACATTAGTGGTAAATTATTTGTTAAACATCATCAAAACAAGAAGGCTAACAAACAGTAAGTAAAACATGTAGAGCTAACATTGGTTCAAAGATCTAATATCAAAAATCTCAATTTTAACACATGGGGTTAAGCTTCACCAAGCAAAACATAAATTTAACATCTAAACTAGTTATTTAACTATGGGGATGGGTTTGGATGCAGGAGAACTTGCCTCAAACACGTAGTTGATCCCCTGAATGTGTGTGCATCCTCTTTTTCCTCAGCCACAACCCTCGATATCTCCCTCTACTCAATGTCACGTCTCAAACGCCTCGAGAACACCAAAATCAGATCTAGGGTTTAGGGGGAGGAGGTGGTTGTATTCTTTCATGGAAAAACTCAGAAATCAGGTTAAAAACATGTTTATATACTTAGGTTATCAATTGGGTTTGAAGAATAACAAATTCGACCTAAAATCTACAACCTGTCAGCCCAGGAAATTTCCCGATAGTCGACTACTCTGAGTAGTAGTCGACTACTAACAGTTTTGAAATATTATATTCATTAATTTGGCTGTAACTTTTACATCCTATCTCGGAATGATGTGATTTAAGATTTGTTAGAAAGATGATTAAGAGACCTACAATATGTTTCTTTTGAGTTTTCTCATATTCTAACTGTATCAGTGTGAAAAATATATAAACTCAAATCTGGTCATTATTTTCCAGATTTCTTCTTTGTGCATGTTTTTGTGCATTTGCACTCATATGTCCACACATATATATATTGAATCGATCTCAAATCAATTCCTTTCATACTCAAAAAAATAAATATGCTATTTATCACTATATAACATATTTATTATTATAATTATCACATAATATTTAAATTATCGGGATTTTACATTCTTCCCCCTTTAAAAGAATTTAATCCCCGAAATTCCGCACGTATTATAAATAAAAAAAATCTATACTTAATAGTCTAGAATATGAGTGCTTCCACTTAACCCCTAACTAAACAGAACTAGTACGTCGAGTAAAAAATCTAAACAAGGAACCCTCCATATATATACCATGTGTCCCAAGTGATTAGGAGTTAAGTATTAATACCCCCATTCTAGTGTTAAATATGAACATGTCCACATAGACAATCATGCATATAAGCAAAGCATAAATAAATAAATCAAATTATCTACTCAAACAGGTATGGGTAGTCACGACGCATATCCTCTTCGTGCTCCCAAGAAGCCTCTTTAGTTCCACTTCGGTTCCACTGAATTTTTACTAAGGGAATCACCTTATTTCTTAGTTTCTTGTCCTCTCTCGCAAGGATACAAACCGGTACCTCAATAGTGGATAAATCTATTTGAATCTTGATCTCAGGTGTATCAATCACCCTCTGCTGCTCCTCATCATGCAGGTGCTTCTTGAGCATCGACACATGAAATAAATTATGCACGCTTGACATCGATGCTGGAAGATCTAATCTATATGACACAGCTCCAACACACTCTAAAATCTTGAATGGTCCAACATATCTTGGGGCAAGTTTTTCCCATTTACCGAATCGCTGAACGCCCTTCATTAGTGATACCTTCAACATGACAAAATCTCTAATCTGAAACTCCAAAGGTCATCATCTATGATCCGCGTAGCTCTTTTGCCGACTCTGAGCGGCAAGAATGCACTTCCTAATCAGTGCTACCTTCTCAGTAGTCTGCATCACAAGCTCTGGCCCGAGTAACAAACTATTCTTCGGTTCTGCCCAACAAATCGGGGATCTACAAGGCCTCTCGTACAATGCCTCATATGGAGCCATATCAATCATCGCTTGATAACTATTGTTATAAGCGAACTCGATCAAGGAAATGTGGTCCTCCCAGCTGCCCTAGAAGTCTAAAAATGCAAGCCTATAACATGTCCTCCAATACTTGGTTCACTCTCTCCGTTTGCCTATCTGTTTGCAGGTGGAACACACTGCTATATGATAATCTGCTGCCGAAAGAATCCTAGAAGCTCCTCCAAAAATATAAAGTGAAAACTGAGCCTCGATCCGATACGATCATCTCTGGAACTCTGTGAAGTCGAACTATCTCCTGAATGAAGATTCTCGCATAAGTCTCGGTGGTGTAGGTAGTCCTTACTGGTAGGAAATGCGCTGACTTCGTCAACCGATCAACTACCACCCAAATAGAATCGTTCCCCTTCTTCGACTTTGGTAACCCTACTATGAAATCCATACAGATATCTATCTATTTCCACTCAGGAATGGGTAAGGGCTGTAGGGTTCCTGCGGGTCTTTGGTGTTCTGCCTTCACCTGTTGGTAGGTAAAGCATTTAGCAACATATTCTGCTATCTCTCTACATAAATATTTGTATAATTGTGTTTCTTATCTTTTTCACGATTATCTTCAATCTTTGAAATTAACTATCTCTCAATTTGCAGGTTTATCAAACAGGGGAAGGGAATGCTGCAACCCCATCAACTGTTAGCTGAGTATAAAGATGTAATCCCTGAAGCTGACCATGAGAATCTCAAGGATGGGGTCTTTGAGGATGTTCTTAAAGCTGCACAGGTGCAATATGGATATATATCACATGTGATTGTTAGTCACTAAATGACTATCCTAATTTGATAGTTTTCTCCAACTTAGTAATAATTTGTCAATTTTTTCTTAATCCAATTATTTTATGCACACAGTGCACTACAAATTTATAACATGCTATTGTTTGTCAATTGCACACAGTGCTTCCAAATGCTTAGAGAAAATTCATATTTAGCCATGTAACATTTTTACAAATCATTCACTCAACTGTTTATTCTGAACAAAACTATTGCTGATTGCTATCATATACTTAACACTGCTATCTATGTGCTGGTATAAAATTACAAGATCAAAATTTCATGTATGTTTTACATGCATTTTTTTTGAGAATATATTCACTTAATCACATAACTTTTAAGAAAATATATCAAATATATAATGGCTTTGTAATTTTTGTTATGAAAAATGTGTTTTTATGATGTTGTACAAGCCTTATTTCATGATAACCTATTCCCCCCTCATTTATATCTGACCATGTTACTATCAGTGTAATTGATAAAATTTTTAAACAGTCAAATAATGTAGATTCTTATTGAAGGCAATAACCATTCCCCCTCTATATAGAGATATAATATGATGGGCAATGTAGGACTAAACTCATATGTCTAAAAATTATTATTCTCCTAAAACACCTAATAACTTAATATTTCTAACCATAATACATGAGGCAATAGTGTTACCTCTATGGGTTGCTCTCGCGATTCGTCCTCGGCCTGGGGTATGGGAGTATGTTCGTGTGAATGTGAGCGAACTCGCTGTGCAGGAGTTGACCGTTGCTGAATATTTACAGTTCAAGGAAGAGCTTGCAGAGAGGTGGGTGTTTTGATTAGATTGTATTATCTAGTTTTGTTTCGAAAAATTATTAAAATCAAGAGTAAATCTCTATTATTTTTCATTGTTTCAGCGCTCAGGGGAACTTTGTTCTCGAGTTGGATTTTGAGCCTTTCAATGCTTCTTTCCCTCGTCTGTCACTTTCCAAGTCAATTAGAAATGGAGTGCAATTCCTTAATCGATACCTCTCCTCAAAGTTGTTTAATGACAAAGAAAGCATGTGGCCACTGCTTAATTTTCTTAGGGTTCATAGCTACAGGGGAACGGTAAAGTTTTTACAAAATTAAAGACATATGATTTTAGTTTCTTGGATATCACTCCCCGCATCTTAATTGTAAGTCTCAAAGTGTTCTTTCGAATTCAACATATTTTTTCTAAGTAATATTCCTCAGTAACATATAATCTTCATAGGTGACCCGATTGCTACCAGACACGGTCGGGACCACTTGTGGCTTCCTCAGTAACATATAATCTTCATAGGTGACCCGATTGCTACCAGACACGGTCGGGACCACTTGTGGCTAGAGGCTAGAGAAGGTTATTGGAACTGAGCATACTAGCATTCTTCGTGTTCCTTTCAGAAATGAGTAGGAGATACACCGTAAGTGGATATCATGATTTGAAGTGTGGCCATATCTGGAGACCTATGCTGAACAAAACCATTGCCAATTGCTATCATATAAGTGGCGTGGTGACATGCACATGAAATATGTGAAAGAAAATTCATTACAAGTTGCACTTGGAAATAAACATGTAGGAGTAAGTGTTGATGAGGAAATATGTGAAAGAAAATTCATTACAAGTTGCACTTGGAAATAAACATGTAGGAGTAAGTGTTGATGACTGAGATTGACTAGTTAAGGAACATTATAGTTGCACTTGGAAATAAACATGTAGGAGTAAGTGTTGATGACTGAGATTGACTAGTTAAGGAACATTATGTTTATTCAAAATTTCAGGTATTAATCTCCTATTTTTATTTATTTTGTTTCATGTATATTGCTAAATTATTAAAATTCTCTTTTAATCTTGATGTATAGAAAGAAAGCTAACAAAATACACTTAACAGAGGAAAAAGAAAGATACTCCACCACACAGACAGTAAACCCTTTAGACAAATTGCGTGGGAACTGGTAAACATTCAAAACTAATTTCCTATTTATTTAAAACTATATTGTTTTTTAGTTTGATGTTGTACTCATTTTTTATTTAATATTTGAATAAGGGTAGCAAGTCAGGAAATCCACCTGATGTGGTAAAAATGTTTCATGAAACCCGAAAGAAAGCTAATGAAACACTAGATACCGAGGATCAAGATAAATATGTAAGTGAAGTATGTATTTAAGTTTGATAATGATACATTATATAGTGCTAACATGTGAATTTAATTTTTATAGGATGAAATCATTCAAGTCAAACAAGCAAATCCTTTACTTTCAGACATTGAGATAGTTGAGAAAATTTAGGGGAAGCAATCTCATGGTCACATCACTGTATTTGGTTGTGAGACTACTTTGAAAGATTTGAGAGGACCACTCCCTAGTCGATCTGATCCGGAAGCACGAGTTATAGAAGAAAAGAGAAAGAACCAGATGTTTTAACAATGCTTAGTTGAGCAGGAGCAACAACAACATCATCAACAACAAAGGATGTCTGACTTAGAGTCACAAGTGAAAACTATGCAGGAACTTTTTTTAAGGCAACAATCTTCATTGACTCTTCAACCTCGAGAACATGTGCAAGACTAGGTAATTATTTTTTGTAAAATATCTTATATACTTTTATGATTGACTACTTACACTAGAGAAAATGCGATTTTTACTTAATAAGATAATATTTGCTTAATTGATATTTCTTAATTATGTGATTTTTTTTAACTTTTCAGGCTATCCATGCAAGATTAGGAGGGGGTAGCTCGAGCCTTCTTTTGACGATGATTATAGATGAAAGGGCGTGTCTTTCCCAGACTTCTATTTTAATTTATATTAGATAGTTTCACATATTTTTCTTTGGAACAGTTGGGATATTAACACTTGTTATTAGTATTGAATATTTGAGGATGATGAAATTTTATTTATTAAAGTTATTAATGAATGGAGTTTTTTTATTTCTCTTTTATTCATTATTAGGTATTTTTAATATATTTGTGTTGTGAATCTTAGTGTCACGTTGAGGACCATTAATATATATTAGAAATTTGTAGTCTATAATGACAGTTTTATAAACCGTATTTTGTCATCAACGAAGGGAAAGCACCATCGTTGATGAGTTACTAATTACCCACAATGAGGACTTTTATGACGGTATTCAACCGTCATTAATTGGCCTTCAACGATGGGAAAATATCCCTGTAATTAATGGTAACGACTGGAAAATATCCCGTCACTAATGGTAACGATAGAAAAATATCCCTGTCACTGATGGTAACGACGGTGATAATTACCGTCATAAATATTAACGACGGTAATATGTTCCGTCGTTATAGACTCTATATCGACGGGTAGTATACCCCTTCGTGACCCTTTAGCGAAGAGGGCTTCAACGACGGGTGACGAAGGGATTTTTCACCGTCGTTAGCACGACGGGTGACGAAGGGATTTTTCACCGTCGTTAGCATACAATAACGAAGGTTTTCAGCTCTTTAACGAAGGGAAATCCCTTCGTTAAATTTTCACCGTCGTTAGCATACAATAACGAAGGTTTTCAGCTCTTTAACGAAGGGAAATCCCTTCGTTAAAAATGTAATTTCTTGTAGTGACCCATACTGTGCAACAACAAGTTTCATCAATCACAGCAATATCCTCTAGTGGAATCAAAAATAAAGTGCAGGTACAGTACAGGCAAAAAGAAGATATTAAACATAGTAGACATGATGTAGAAAGATAAATCTCATAAATAAACTCATGTCTCAACTAGCAAGTCTGAAATACATCTGATGACTAAAAGAAAATGTCTCATCACAAACTAAATAGAAATCGTACTAAGACTCTCAGTCTTTACAAGAAGAAAATAAACTCTAATGTCTGAATGTGAAAGTCAACACAATGGAGTCTCACTACTAAACTGAACGACGGTGACTATGCTGGAAGACCGTCAACCTACGGCTCTCCGAAGCTCTGAACTGCCTGAAAAGAAAATTAAAACAAAAAGAGCAACAAAAAAAGCATCAAAGTGCTACAATAAGATCACCTCCATCCGCCCCCAGGGGAAGGGCCACTAGATGTAGTGGAGGCTCTATTTATTAAGCATAGTCTACCTACATCATTTTGCCCATATCTAATAGTATTAATACTTAGAAATCTACAACACGATACGTAGTACGTCGAGCGAAATAATCTAAATAAGGAAACCCTTATGTATATACCATATGTCTCAGACTGTAGATACCTAAATATCAATACCGAACTATGAAAGAAACATCACTAGAAAATAAAATACTATAATAGACATCAATATAAAATTCTTATGTACATCACAAGAGTAAGGTATCTCGGTCATTTATTATATTCAGCAGAGTGACATAACTACTTTTGGCATCCACCAAAACTCAAGCTATCAAATAATTGTCTCATTTCAATTCTTTACAAGATTTTGATCTCATCGCATAATCATGCAACACGGACTACCCTGTAGGCATCCTAAATCAATGTACATGGCTCATTAGTCTTATCGCGATCTCAATGCATAACATGAGTGCGGGACTGCCTACCTTATAGGTATCCTAAAAGACGGTTCATAAGCCTCATCGCACCCTCGTGTAGACGAACTGCTAGACAAAGCATCCAAACCCGACTCAATGGCCTGTACAAATGGAATATTGACGCACTACCCCTATATAGTACTGAGCTGAGCCCATCAACGATATCCATCCTATGTATAAACTGTATAAATTTGGCATATCGACGCACTATCTCTTATAGTACTGACCTAGGCCCATTAACGATATCCGACACATGTTTAAACTACTCCAACTCAAGTGTAATCACTCAATACTTGTCAAATCCCCTCTGGAACACTCATGTGTGTATCATATCACTATTCATGTATATTCATGTCTATATGTGTACTATCGTGCGATTCGAATCCCGCAATCGCATCTCAAAACAATGCAACAAAAGTTCAGGAAAAAGCCTTAGTAGTCGACTACTAACCTTAGTAGTCGACTACACTGAGTCCATCCAGACTCTGAGTAGTAGTCGACTACTCTGAGTAGTAGTCGACTACTAACAGTTTTTCAATATTATATTCAGTAATTTAGCTGTAACTTTCACATCCGATCTCTGAATAAGGTGATTTAAGATTTGTTAGAAATCTGATGAAGAGATCTATAACTTTTATCTTTTGAGTTTTCCCAGATTCTAACTGTATCAGTGTGAAAATATATAAACTCAAATCTGGTTATTATTTTCTAGATTTCTTCTTCATGCATGTTTTTGTGCATTTGCACTCATATGTCCACACATATATATTGAATCGATCTCAAATCGATTCCTAGCATACTCAAACTAAATATGTTATTTATCACTATATAACATATTTATTATTATTTATCACATATTATTCAAATTATCAGGGTTTTACAATTTCAATCTATCACCTCAGCCATATAAGACTTAGAAGGAAGGATGACAGAGTTTGACGGTGATGTACGTACACTATCTCTAAACATGACTTGTTTAGTACAGGATGGTTACTTTGAGATATGCAACTAACTATAAATCTACAAGTGCAGATCTTTAACTCTCTTTTAACAAAATAGTCTTTTTGTCTGGACTTTATATAGGTGTGATTTTTTGATCATCTTTTAACAGTATACTCATATATGCAATTTATCAATGAAATTCAATTGCACCTTAGCAAGTTTTTTATTTAGTGTGGAAAATTGAGAATGAAATTGTATATTTCTCATTATTTTCTGAATAGGAGTACATGGCTATTTAAGGAGGAAGAAGTGAAGCTTTTCCTCAAAACTAGATACTTAAATTGAAATTAACAGCTAAGAGAGTCTGGTAATTAATATCCAAATCTCTTTATTCTAGGAAACAAACTAAACTGAATCTTGACAACTAATTCCTAGTAATCATGCAGTAAATCATGGATTTTCATACTCCCCCTCAAGCTAGGTTATAGATATTGAGTAAACCTAGCTTAGAAATAAGATCCTCGAATGTCTTCCTTAGCAAGGCTTTAGTTAGGATGTCTGCTATCTGCTGATTAGTTGGGACATACACAAGTGATATTGCGTTGTTTTCTATCTTCCCTTTGACAAAGTGTCGATCGATCTCCACGCGCTTCGTTCTATCATGACGAACTGGATTCTTAGCTATCCTGATTGCTGACTGATTGTCACAAAACACTTTCATATATCCTGAGACATGAATTCCAAGTTCATAAAGCACTCTTTTCAACCAAATACCCTTACAAATACCGTGTGCAAGGACTCAGAATTCTGCTTCTGCACTGCTTCGTGATACAACTGATTGTTTTTTGCTTCATCAAGTAACCAAATCCCCCCAGACATAGGTGCAGTATCTTGAGGTTGATTATCTATCAATTATTGATCATGCCTAATCTGTGTCAGTAAATATTCAAACTTCCCTGTTTGTTGTCTTCTGAAAGAACAATCCTTGACTTGGTGTCATCTTCAAATATCTCAAAATCCTGTACACTACTTCCATATGCTCTTTTGTTAGACAATTCATGAATTGCCTCACTATACTTAAAGAAAAATTGATATTTGGTCTGGTATGTGAGAGATAGATGAGCTTCCCGGCTAATCTTTGGTATCTCCCTTTATCAACGGGAGCACAACTACTTTTGCTACACAATTTTGTAGTGGAGTCTATAGGAGTGTCACCTGGTCTTCTTCTAAGCATTCCCGTTTCGTTCAAGAGATCAAGCACATACTTCCGTTGGGAAACATAAATACCTTTCTTGGACCGAACTACTTCCATGTCGAGGAAGTATTTGAGGTTGCCTAAATTTTTGATCTCGAACTCTTTAGCTAGAAAGCTTTTGAGTTTTAGAATTTCTTCATCATGATCCCTAGTTAGGATAATGTCATCGATATACACGATAAGTATTACCTTTTTACTTGAAGATGTTTGTTTGACAAACATAGTGTGGTCTGTCTGGCACTGATTATACCCAACCTTCTTTACTGCCTTAGTAAATCTGTCAAACCATGCTCTTGGCGACTGTTTAAGTCCATACAAGGACTTTCTGAGCTCGCAGACTTTGTTGGTTTTAGTTGGAGTGTCAAAGCCAGGAGGAATCTCTATGTATACTTCTTCTTCAAGATCACCATTAAGTAACACATTCTTTATATCTAGCTGATAGAGGGGTCAGTCGAGATTGGAAGCTAGTGTGAGCAAAACCCGAACAATATTGAGTTTAGCTACAGGTGTAAAAGTCTCCTTGTAATCGATCCCATAGGATTGTGTGAACCCTTTAGCCACCAGACGAT